CATTCTATAACAGTTTATAAGAGTGTCTGCCTGGTCCGTTAGAGTCAAGTAAAATGATTAAGATGAACCGTTATCTTCATTTATACGCTAACGATGTTTCATCGATTTGGTTCGGAACAATACAAAAGTTAAGACATGTCTGAACAAGCATGATCAATAATGACGTCATTCAGCAACGTCACGTTCTAAACAATAACAGAATCAAATTCATGAACAAAGTTTTTGCATTGCGTCAAGAATCCATCATCTTCCTCCTTTTCTTCTTCCATAGCGGGAAAGAAAGGATCGTTCGATCCATCAATACAATCAACATCAACATCGCTATCAACAAAAACATTACCAGTTTTGCAATCGGGGAAATCAAATCCCTTAGGTTGGAGAATGTTTCTAAGTTGATCAACGTGATAACGAATTTGCCGTACATCAGTTTTAGAGTTTTTCCTACTAGAATGTAACTCACCGAGTAGGGACCTCACTTGAGCCGTTAGCAGGTTATTCTTATCTTTCACGTCCAGCAGTTCTTTGGTTATTCTCATAACGGTAGGAATTTGTTTTTTCAGTCTAGAAATTTCAGCCGTAGATTCATCCAAAAGGGTCTCTCTGTATTTTGCGAGTTCGTTAGCTGTACGAAGTCTATGTTCAGTCATTTCTAATTGCTTTTCCATCGCAACACTCTTATTCTGTGTTCTTTCAATAACTCGTTCAAATGCTTTTATTTCGTTTTCCAATTGCATAGTTCTGGATTCGTAGTAACCGGCCATAATTTCTGAATACTGAATAAGGGTAAGCAATGTGAAGTTTATATATTACACATATCGATTAATAGTTGAAGGTTGAACAAATAACAAAGCGGGAATCTATGACGTCATACCTCTAGCAACAAGTCCAGACACGACATCGAGCAAAGGGAGACCAAAGAATTTCCCCGAAAAAAACAAAACAAAAAAAAACAACATCATCATTACGGTACAGATTCAATGATGGGGACGGATCAACGTTTAGATAGGTAAGAGTTATGCATTCTTTTCCAGAAGATAGGTTGTTTTTCAGATGGAATGCGAATAATTTTGGCCTTTGGATCTTTAATACTGAAACGAAAAGAAAAAGAAAAGGTAAGGAAAACCGTACGAGATAACCAATCAAAAACAACCAACCTATAAAAAAAAATAAATAAATAAATAAAAAAAAATAAATAAATTAAAAAAAATATATATATATATATACATAAATAAATAAAAAAATAAATAAATAAAAAATAAGTTAAAAAATAAATAAATAAAAAATAAATTTAAAAAAATAAATAAATAAATAAAAGGAAAAAATGATTAACTTACATTATCCGCTTAGAGATTTCAGAAACCTCTAAAACAGGAATCTCATTAGGACTTGGTTTAGATTCTTCACCCCATTTTTCGCTCCATGAAGGCACCTCATTGGGCTGATACGGTGGGACTCTAAGATCACCGTGCATTCTCGGAGGTAGAACAAAATGAGGAGTTTTGGCGGGACATGTAGCTTCGTGAAGCGCAATTAAATTTATTTTGGCGAAGTGGTGAGAATTGTACCGACACTGTATCATGGGGACGCCGACGTAGTTGAACTTGCATTTGTGAAAATGATTCCAAAATCTTGTTACTCTAACTTTGTGGTTAGGAAAAAAAGGACAAGTTCTATATTCTGGCATCTTGAATCAAACTAAACTCGGGCAAACAAAACGAAGATCTTCTAGTCTGAATGAAACTGAAGAAAACAGTAATCTAAACTCTACATTGCGATCTGTATTTAACCACACTTTGTTTATCTGTGTATACAGAAACTAGGGATTAATCACTAGGGATAGAAACTATCGGGAAAAAAAACCAAAAAAAAAACAGGTACATTCCCACAGAGTTTAAAATAATCTAAGTATCTAAAATACAGAATTAAGAGCGTTCCCACAAAGTTTAAAAGACTAGAAACTAAGTAGGGAAAATAACCTATCGATCTTTGGATTTGAAGATGTGCTGCCAACTTAAAATTAACTGTGACCAACTAGATGATAAGCTATTGTGTTAAACAAAGAGTAGACGCAAACAAAGAATTAAGAACGTTCCAACAATAAGAAGAGCACCTAAGGAAGATAATTAAATAGTGACCGAAGCCAGGACTCTTATTGTTATAAGGATCTCAAGGCGAGAAGGCAGTGCATTAGTAAGTTGGTAGAATATTCATTAGTGAAAATTCA